AAAACAAAAAGTCATAATGACATCATTCCTTACAGAAATGCAAGGCTTTGCATCGTACAAGAACCCAGAAGAATAGAGTCGTTATAAAATCATAATGATACTATAGGACATCATCATGACATCACATGATACTTAAAAATAAACGTATTAAGTAAAATAACTTATAAGACTGTCATAATAATGTCTTATGATATTATTATATTATGATTTCTTTGTTCTTGAGAACATCCGGCGTTACGTTACGTTAAGTATTAAATCGTAAACTGAAGCCTGTAAAAACATAACAGTAAACTTACATCACGCACAAATCGTAACATAATGTTTAACGTTACGTTATGATTTTGTTTCTGCGATGATATAAATTTATTGTTACAGGCTTCAGTTGCGATCAATACTCAACGTAACGTAACGCATTATAGATGTTCTTGTTCGAAAACAGCCAAATATTAGTTAATTTAATATTAAAAGACGGTAATTAATTATTTATTTTAAGTATTATATATATATAAAAGTATTCTTGTTCAATGCTTTTAATACTCCACATAAGTAATTAATTACTGTCTTTTTCAGTATTAAATTAGCCAGTATTATGTTTCTGTAATGGAAAGTGGTGTTAAAATGGCTTCAAAATGATTATTAAAAGTTACTTTTCAATTAATCACCATTTATCTTAACGTCATTTTGACATTATCGTGACTTGCTTGAATAAAAGCGTAAAAAGTAATAGTAGAAATTGTGAAATTAACTTTCAAAATTCGATCTCGTCATTGTCGCTAATTTCTTCTTCATCGCACACGCAGAAAAATTATTTATTTCGAGTATTTTAAAAGTTCATATATTGATCTGTCATATATTACAACTGTAATGTTACATATGTAATATGTTATTCAAAATATATTATGAATCCTAACAGAGAGTAAGTTTAACACTTCAATCAAAATTAATAAATTAAAACAAAATTTGATTTGCTTATTATATAAAGTCACTTCTATAATCAATATTAGAATAATCTGCAAAGGAAAATTAATTCTTGTTTTGAATATATAATAATAAAATTTATTATAATTTGTAGTGAATATATTTTAAGATTATTATTATAATAAAAGACATTCTTTATTAAAGTTAACTCTCTCTCTCTCTCTCTCTCTCTCTCTCTGTATTGAAAAGGAAGAAAAGTAAATTGAGTACTCACTTTTCTCAGCAATATCATAGAACAATTTTTCTCTGTGTATAGAAGAGCAATTTTACTTTTAGAAGGAATTATTTAAGATGCGTTGGTAAAAAAATTCTTTTCGGATTGATCACGTTGAATCGAATTCGAGTCACGAGAGAGCCTCGAATTACCTGTGCATGTATGCTACAGATTTTCTGGAAAATCTCGCGAGCCGAGTATTTCGAACACTTGTCCAAACGCGCGTGCCTCACACGCTACATACCCGACATTGTGTCGATGAGCTATTTTGATGATGCACGAGCGGGTGCGAGATATGAGGTGCAGTCGCGTTCCTGTCGGGTGTATAGAATTTTAATTTTCAATATCGGGGCCGACCGTTCGGTTTACATTGCACGCTCCACCGTGCTGGGACACTCCTCTTCATCCTGTGAATGCGTTTTCAGAAAAGACATTTATTTCGTCAATATTCCCGAGTATTGGCATGTATTTACAAATACTTATGGTGTTTCGCAACGCGCGTCCCCTTCTTCGTGGGAAATTTATTCTTAAATGATTTAGAGAGAGTGTTTTAACATGTTGACCGTCGATTAAGTTAGCTTATGTAGTTGGTGCCCTTAGGAAAAAGAACTGTTTATAGTGTCCCAATAAACTCTAATGGGTCAATACATCAATTAGCTCTATCAGTAATTGATGAAATATCATCAGTTACTGTATAATTAAGCAGTTTATTGGAATTCTAATTAATTCTTTTTCTTAAGGACGATGTACAGATAGTACTCGCTGTGCGTGATTACTCACTCGATTTGATTTTTTTCGGAGGAAGAAGTAAAAATGTTGTTGTGAAGTTTGATGAAAAATAAATATAAATCACCAGAGAATATAGTTACATAAGATAATTTTTATATCTCAGCGCGAGAAAATAAAGTTCAGTTTTTATAATAGTTTTCTTTATTGGAATTTATTTTTCTTTATTTCTTCCAATTCTTTTTTAGATAATATTAAGTAAATTCATATAAATAATGATCTCAAGTGTTGTTTAATAAATTATAGATTTATGATATACAATATAATATAATTAATAATAATTTTTAATTGAACGTAAAAAAATAATCGAGCTGAGTATTTACAAAAAACATAAATAATTATAATATTCTTGATTTAAATAGCGTATTAGATTAATATACTAATATATATATGAAAATAACATCAGAAATAAAATTACCTAACTGTACAATGACAAATAACGTTAACATCGTCTACTTGATGAATGAGTTTCGTATGTGTGTCTTACTCTGTACATTAATTTTCATTTACTTATTACTGTGCATATCTATTTTCATAATTATAAGCAAGTAACAGTAAAATATTGTTTAATATGATTAAATGTGAGATCATATTCTCACGGAAAAGATTCAACATACTAAATAATACAATTTTTACTTTATATTATGTTTTAACTATATCCTTTAAAATTTTATATCAAAATTGGTTTTTTACAAGCTACGTAAAAAATTTCAATAGTATCTGTCACCAGTAACCGCTGAAAGGTCAATCGCTGGTCACGGATGACCACCGTGACAATCAATGTGTTAAATAATTATCGAGAATTGTTGACTTTCGTGATGAAATATGGTGAAGTTGAGTGTCGATCGCTTGCCTGTTTGAATCGGTGAAATTTTTAATAAAGCTGCTACTATATTTCTTTTCTTTCCAATATATATGTAGTCACAGAATAAATGCCTTTCCCGTTTAGTTGAATCTTATCTTTAAGAATATTTTAATGATAGAATCGAGCCCGAGAGAGTGTCTATAGATTCTTGAAAAATATATTGCATACAAAAATGTATGAAAAAGATACTATAACATACGTTACGTATACAATATTAATTATTATAGGTTTTTCTAGTTTTTTTTATATATACGATACTTTTCAAGAAATCAGACCTCTGAGTTTTCCGCGAATTCCGCGTGGCCAGCTTGAGAAAATGCAAAGAGATCGAAGAGGTTGATCGAACGATCGGTCGACCCAACGGTGGCATGTCGCCCGTGACATAATTTACTTCGCACCGACGATGGGGGCCAAAAGACAATTCATTCTACCTCCCCGCGCAATGTCGCTGCGTCATACCGCGAAGGGGAACTTACCGCGATCAATAGACACTTCTGTACACGGCGCCAGAAAATTAAGCCGGCCGCAAAGTTTTGCATTATGGAAAGTTCCCTTATCGGTCAAACGGTCGACGGGGCCCTTTTGTGAAAACCCGCTACCCGATGAGGAAAAGGGGGAATGGGCGGCGGGACGTTATTACGCTCTCTCACCTTCCCTCTTCCTCCGGGTTGCCTAGATAAATATACCGGTGTACATTATTGGGGACGGCGGAGCGTCTCGAAGAGATTGAAGGTGAGAATTTACATCCTCCTCGCTATCTACGGTGCACTCGAGAGATTCACCCGGCAGTTTTTCAGCCTAAGAAATTTAACGGAGGCAAGCACAACGGTATATCTTCTCGATTTTCGTGGCGCTCTCGGATGCGCTTCGAGAAGAAGAAATGAGAAATTTACTCGCGTCGCAAAGTTTTCCAACTGTGCAAAGCATTTACGTCAAGAGTAAAAAATACATGTTACGTATCTTCTACGTGCGAAATAAAAATAAAAGCGACATCAAAGCGCAAATCGAATTTCTAAAAAATTTAAATTATCGTTCAATTGGTAATATAGCAATAGCAGTTTGATCTGTTTAATTACAAAATTATTAATTTGAAAATTAAAAGATCAAAATTAACTACAATTAATCTCTACAAAAAATTATGATTTCAACAATTTTTCGTTAATTATAACTCTTCGTTATATAATGATATAACTTAAAAATAATAGGGTATCATTCTATCTCAATGTAAAAATACAACATACTTAAACAGTTTTCAATAATTTTTTATGCATTTATATTTACAATTAATATCAGTATATATATTTATATCTATGTGTAAATGTACAGTATTTTATATAATTTTTCCTCAAAGAACAATTATTTAATCTTAATTTATTTACACAAAAATAAAGTTAACAATACATATTAAAAATATATGTTCAACCTAATGAAATTTACAATTTAAAATAATAATTAAAAATATCATTAATACTATACAAGAAATATACCTTTTATAATCATATTCAAAAAAACATCTACTCATTTTTATTAAGCATTTATTTAATTATGTATTTATTATGTGCACTTAAAACTTTTACGAAAAAATTTACCCATGATTATACAACTTAATTAAACAACTAATAAATTATAAAATTGGAAATATATAGAGCAAATAGTTTTACTATTATTATAGTAGCCAGCATGAAAAGACAGTTTTTCAATTAATTTCCTCTGAAACAAAACATGTATGAATATTTTCAATATAAACTTATTTTCAATATAGACTTATTTTCAATAGAATGTTTTTAATAGAATTGTATAGAATAGATCTTTCTCATATATTGTGAGGCATATACCGTTTTCTCATCTAAATCGCGCGACACAAGTTCGCCTCTATTTTCTGGTTGCCATATTATCTGATTGCAAAAGTACATGTACGTATTTACTTTACGGACAGTATTACAATTTATCGCAGCTAGAATGCATTGTTATGGGCGGAAGTAGGAGTAAAAGTGTTTAAAAATTTTCATAATTCCAGAAAAATACGTCTTGATAGATACATCAATGACAGTTCACACAGCTATCACAGAATATCTGTACTAATGGATGCTTTTCAACAAGAATCACAAATATAATATAGTATAACACAGTGAATCATTGTATCTTCATTGTTTGTCAATGTTAAAAAAAGATAAAACGATCACTGTATTACATTATGTCTCTTGCTGGAAAGTACCAAATATTTAACTAAACGTGATTCGACAGGTACGAGTTTCATATCTCATTAGGCTCTCTAGAAAGACTCTCTAAAAGGAAAGGAAACATACATGGCACGTATACTTTCAGCACAAACGATTAATCGTCGAAATCGTACATTTGATGAGATTTCCAACCAAGTGTCTGAATACACCTAAAATAAGATAATAATTTATAAATAATCAAGAATAAGCTAAAAATTACAACAATTAAATCAGAGAGCAGCTATACAGTTTTTAGCTTTGTATAATAAAATTATATAAATTATATTTGCTACATTTATTAAATTATAAAAAATATAAGATACGTTTTTTTTAATAAGTAATCAAAAATACTACCTACTTTTTCGCAGATAGCATAAATCCTTTTGGTCCACACGTAAATATGCATCCTTCTGGTGAACACTCGCCAATCAATTCTTTCAATAATTTATCAGATACCGTACCGCGTCTACCTTCCCATTTATCTCCTGCTTGTGAAAGGATATGTGTAACTTTGAACCTAATGAATACGAGATATTAATAGTTTTCAGTTCGATAAAATCTATTTTTATTTTTAGATTAACTGACGTACGATATCTCATATCGATTTATGATAGATATAATTACGTATATTGTTATGTATATTATACATGATATAGCGCAAAAACAAACTTTAGTTATTTCTTTAATCATATATATAAATAAATTCATATATATAAATTTGTATAATAATTAAATTAAATTTTAGTTTTAATAAAGAGAAAGTATGTTTATATACATCATTATACAAATCATATATATATTAAAAAACAATTAAAATATGTACTTACTTCTTTTCTGAAGATACTTTATCAAGTTGCGACACATAAAACATATTGTCCTCATCCTTATTGAAATTTAGAAGATTGATTAATTTTCTGAAAAAGATTTTTAATCAATTAGAAATAAAAATTGATAATGTAATATATTAATCTAACTAATCTTATGCTTTGTTAGGAGCCAGATGAAAATGATTTCATCTGGTGATTAAGATCTACATATAATCACCAGTGCTATTTAGTTTTGTTGTTCCAAAAATAAAATATTATATATTTAGAGAAAGTCTCAAACGAAATATACTGATACTTACACATTGCGCCTTCCTAAAGCTCGCTGAATTATTCCTAACATTGCGGTTAAACCCGTGCCACCTGCTAGCATGTGAATAACAGGATACCGATCGAAAGATTCGGTTACAAAGGCACCCAAACCATTGCTCATTATAAGGGTTTGGCCAGGTTGTAATTTGGTGATGGACGGACTAAGTGCACCATTTGGATATCGCTTTATCATCAAGCAAATGCAATCAGGCTTATAATTTGGCGCCATATCTTCAGGATGAAGGCACGATGGGACAGGCGTATATGACCTTGATATTTCCATTCCTGCGACAAAGATATAAAAATATTATATCAACACAATATATTTTTATAAATACACAATACAAATGTGTTATATAAATATGTAAATTTAAATTTCTTATACAGTTCTATTAAAAATATTCTATTGAAAATGTGTTACAGAAAAAATATTAATTTAAAAAACTGTTTTTTCATGCAGACTAGTGTGATGAACGCGTCGCCACTACCTCGGCTGCAATATAAGAAAAGCATAACAATTTCGATAAAAGTGTTCGTAGAAATTCATGGAAATCATGTTCGAAATCCGCGAGAAAATAACATTATGTATACAATTCGAATCCACTCAACTGTTCAAGACAGAAAAAACCGCGATGCAATCAAGCGATGCAATCAAGCGCTTTGGCCGAAAATAGTACATGCAATATTCGTAAAATAAAAGAAACATAAAATCGCGTCCGTTTTAAAGTTAGACAATAGAATTGTCGCGAAGGACGACAAAACAAATAGATCTCTATAGACAGGTGAATGCGCGTGAGACAGCGACAGGACAGTTCATTACCGTCTCTCGACACGTGCGAACATACTCATATAAGATCGAGTTAATAAAGACACAGCTTTAAACGTGAAATATACAATTTGCATTATTTTCCGACCCGATCCGCATACAATCCAGTTACCGACTAAATTAGTACATAACAGTATAAACTAGAGTAAAGTTATTCTCTATAAATTAAAAAATTCCACATTTATTAATATTTTATTTTATTTTAACAATAAAAAATTGCAGTATATAGAAGTTGTAGAAAATATTGTATATTTGTCTGCGGTTTAAAACAAAAGTATGTTATGAAACTAGGTGTGAAAGTGATGAGAGACGGGATTGATTTAATTTTTGACTCGGAAAAAACTGTTTGTAAAGAATTGTAACACACAAAAAATAAAGCCTTGTATTCTTTGTTTCAAAAGTCGAACCTTTTATTGAAAATAAAGAAACGGAGTTTTGTCTGGAGACTTATAAATATTTTATTGACAAAAATAAATATTTTTTTTGAAAGTAGATATCTATTACTTACCCATTATATTCATTTTGACTTCTATGTGTCTCCCAACGGGAATTATTTCTAGAAAATCTTTCGCACGTAAAACTAAGAAATGAACTAAGTTGCAAAGGGGTGTATTACTGACTATCTCGTACTCTCTGTACGTGCGTTTGTTTGTGATTGATTCTTGCGATAATGTATGATTTCCCTGAGATTTCCAAATATCTTTAAGTTTTTTTGTAAACGTAAAGTCTACCTGCAACATATATGTTTCTTGAGTTTACGAAATACGCGCTAGGAAACATAGTAACCATAAATATAAATGAACTGATTCAATAATTTACCTGCATTGTTTCAAAATCTCTTTTATATATTGGTGGCCATTCCACATCTGCGATTAATTCGATCTCATTGATGATAATGTGCTTTTCAAAAGTTAGCCTGAAGATGATTTTCGAATCACTCAACCTTTGTAATCGATAATATATACCTGGATAGTCGCGTACACCTTGATAGAAAAGTGTAATAGAATTAGATGTTTGCTGCCAATCCATATTCACATTAGACGAATTTGATGAATTTTCATCAACTGCCTTTTGTACTGAAACAATAAAAATTTGCTCTAACCATTAAATGATTGGATAAAATTTGATATTTGTTATTATATATATGTATATATATTATATATGATCACAAATATCAAATATATACATATATAATAATTTTTTTATATCTATCATTCTAATTATAAATTATTAATATAACAAATATGTAGTATATTTGTTAGATGAATCATAGTAAGTTCAATAAGCTTTGCAAACAGAAACATTTCCCGATACTTAAATAAATAAAATAACTGAAAATATTTGAAAATAGTCATAATTCAGAAAAAAAATAGAATTTATATATTATTCATCGATTCACAGAAAAGCATTTCGTTCGTGTTGCTCGTGAACAATACAAACTTAGACATGAACTTCTGTAATGAGGCAATACTATCTACGATTTATTAATCCAATAATGTTTCTCTAAATATAGATGACCTAGAAACAATACGGTCAACTACTATAATAGATACTCACCAGTAGAACGTATGTTTCGACCCAATGTCATGGGCAAACAATTGTTTGACTTTTCCGTTATTGAGGAAGTGCTTGACGCGGAGGAAATCCCACGACTTAATCTGCCTACAATGCATTTTTGCAAAATACTCTGATAATTCACCCATGAGTGCACCTGGAATTAACGATCTACGGGTACATAAAAATAATTACCACTTAGCGAGACGATATAATGATAAAAAATGAAAGATTGTGAAAAGAAAGATCTTACGTTATCGAATAATTTCGTGGCGTCTTTGCCGACACCTCTCATCAACTCGTCAACTCCTCCTGGATGAAAATCCATATAACGCGTAACGTTGAATACTACTCCTGCAATTAAAATCAAATGTGTTAGAATTCAAGTTAAAATAAGTCAATAAATGGTAAAAAAATGAATTACACTGACAATCAAATTTCTAATAATTATTGAGTACTTAATTGTAATTAGTATTCTTTCCGAAATTTCCTCAATTAGTGTGTAAGGATCTAATGTACTTTAAATTAATATATTTTTGCTTAAAGTTAACACAATTGAACGATTTTTTTTTCATTTAAGAGTAAAAATCTAAAGATAATGTTTGTTAATGTAATGAATAAGATTATGTAAATTTTAAATGTGGTTGTGAAAGACATTTGTTATAAACAATTTTTCACAACGTATTATTGAAAAAATATCTGGGTCTATTGGGAATCTAAAATATTAATTAGGATTAAATAGATGTCATTATAAACTATTAAATATTCGGGATTATTTTATGTATACTTAAAGTATTTTATAAAAATAACGTTGTATAAAAAATGAACAATATTGTTGATAGTAAATTAAATATTTCAAAAGTTGTTACCGATGACAAAGAGAGTCTTCTTTTAACGAACCGAACATGAAGTATAAAAATAAACAAACCTCGGATTGCAATCCAAGCATCAGTTTGTTTGTTATGATTAGCAAGCTCTGATAAGGTTACAACTTGTGGTACACCACCGACTCCAGTTAAATCGACTCCTGAATTACCCAATCGGATCCAATCCATCAAACTATGCCCTGGTGCTAAGGCCGTCTTATTCTGTGGGTTTCCTGTAAAAAAAAACAAGAGTAGAAATTTATTATAAACATGTTATTACATTTTTTTCTATATTGCATAAAATACTTACAAATACATAAATAAAATAAAAATATAATACTCGTAGCCTTAAATTATTAGACTATTATATAAATCATGTGTCATATGATTCAATTTTATTATTTAATTTATAATTTATTATTTTAAATCAATTATAATGCATTTACTATTTTATTATTGATTATTTACTATTTTAATTATATTTCATAAAACCTCTTGCTCCTTCTATTAACGTCGTTCGATCTACGCACTACAAATTAGTGGTCGAGAACATAAAGGCGCCATTTATCTACAATGTATACGAGTATGTATGGATGCATGTAAACGCGATGGAGAAAATAGATTAATTGGCAATTACACTAATTACTAACCGTCCTGGATCTGCAGACCGAGGCTCTGCGGAGATCCATTGCCATCCGCGGCGGAAACCAAAGAAGCGCCGCAGCATCGTGGCATTTTTTCATCGGGACAACAGGAATTGCGGAGACAATATCATTTTTGCAGCCGCTTCGTGTAAAACGCGAAATCGATAAAAGTTCTCACAATATGCCAATTTACCTTGATAATAATGAAATTTAATTTTTTCTTAACACGTTTAACATGAAGAGATAAACAAGATAAAGGAGTAAATAAAATACGCAATGAGAATATAAAAATACGTAAATGAGGACATCCAATTTATGAAAAAACATGTTATTAGTATCGAATGTTCGAAATTTGATAATGTCATAGGTGATACCGATAATATAATAATACATACGATGTGTGATATAATATAGAGAAGAAAAATATATACTAATATGTACGTACATATTGAACAAATTTATATATCAATGATTATTACTGTTAAAACTAATGAAAACCAATTAAGGTATGCAAGCAACTAGCTAATTCATAAGACGGAAATATCGTGAAAATTTAATTTTGAATAGATCTCACAGTATCAATAACTAGATGTTATTCGTCACTGACTGGATAATTTTAATCCGATATTCAATATACTGATAATCCAACACCTACTCGATATACACTTATGTATGCTTTTTATTTTAATTTAATTAATGCATAGCAACATATAGTGCTGTTTTTAATTAAAAAAATTTTCTGCCTTTTTCTCTTTCCCATTTAGTTAAGCACGTAAAAAATATTCCACATTTATCGATCTGTTTTAATTATATACCTTTTAATAAATTTCATTTTTTGCTAAACTACAATTAAAGCATTTAATATACAATATCAGCAATATAAATCAAAAGAAGTTTTATATGTTTTTCAAATAAATTTCGTAGAATTTATTACCAAATTTCAATTGTGAATTTAATTTAGCACAAGCCATATATAACGTTTTAAAAAATAAAGAAGTTGAAATTGAAGAAATTCTTTATCAAACTTTCACAATTATTTCAAAAATTAATTCAAACCTTTGTTAAAAAATTCATAAAAGAAATAATAACCTTTAGAAAAAATCTTACGCAGAATAGAGATTTTATGCTAACATATATTCGATTGATTAGAATTTTAATAAAAATTATATAATCCTCCTTCATCTAGTTCAGTTAAACCTTCTTCATCTAGTTAATTTAAAGTTCCTACTGAGGGTAGGTTGCTTGACTCAGGTCACCATCGATTCGTTGTAACTAATAATAAAGAGAGAGATACATGGAAAATGTTTAATTATTTAAGATCCGTGTGCAATGATGCAATATGCGGCTACCAGCGTACTCAAATCGTTCGCTTAATACGAGATGTATCCGTAAAGAATGACAAGGTCATCTACATTATCAAGAAGCAGTGGTCACTATGATGATTTTAAAACTAGGACGGAAACGCGATGCAAATCGCGAATCTCATCGGTGACGAGAAACGAGAGACTAGATTCCGGTGATCTCGTGGTGAAGGACCGGAGAGTACTGCGCTGAAACACGCGGCCGAATATAACCCTGAGACAGGTAGATCAATATAGTAGCGATGGACGACGCTCAGCTCAACACGCAGGATCTCTCGCCAGTCGGAGCGCGCTTCTCCGTGTATCAAGATCTTCTCAATGACTGACAAGTTAGTAATACGAAAGACTACTTATTACTTAATCGATTAAATAAAGTCTGTTATTCGATCAAAATAATAAGACTATCTCGGATGAAGCGATATAATTCGTGAATAAAAATGAATGAAAACCAAAATTTTATTATCAGTTTTATAGAATTATTTTTGTATGACGCGAAAATTTTAGGTATTTTTTGTACAGATTTCAAGAATTTTATATCTATCAAAAATTATTTTTAAAATACCACGATTTAAAACATCACATTTTCTAGGTCACGTTCTCTATTTTTTATGTTCTTTCATACAATTTTCTTTGATTTACAAAATGTAATATAATTTGCTACACATGATTTATGACACTATTGCTTCTACTTTAACTGAAAGAAAGAAGAATCATATGTTCTTACCAGTAGCAGATCCAGACGATGGAATTGTTTTGGCTTTTGCTTTCACTTGCTCACTTTGAATGGGCTTAATGACACCAGTAGGTAATGTTAAAGTACTCCTGGCCAATAGACTCGTAGGTGAAGACGTTTTCACGTCCACTTTCTTTATTTTGTCCTGTACGTCATCGATATCATAAGTATGACATTTATCTTTTCCATTCTCATCTCTCGATTGGGTCTTTGAAGAATCGTTCTTCTTCATTGATTCCATGTTTCTCTTTGAATATGGAAAGTCCGAGTAAGTAAATCCGAGAAAGTAAAAGTGTTATGCTTCGTCATGTACATCCCGATAAAAACTCCATGATTTACCTTGTTGAACTCTGTCACACACGATTAAAGCAAATAATTATCTTGATGAAATTTAATAGCTCATTGATGAAAATTTAATAACTCTTTATAAAACGTTATCATAATAATTTAATGTACAAAATTATAATTGCAATTGAAGAGATGGGCAGAGTAAAAGCACAATTTCATTTAGGCCGTTTTCTTGGAAATTAGTGCAAACAAACAAGGAATTGATGTTGCTTACATTAGTTAAATATTATGAACGTGTTTTCATTGTCTTGTAGTGATAAAAATGATATAATCTATACAAAAAATTTTTATCTTTTTAATTTTACAAACTAAATACGTAACAATAAAAAAATAAAATTTTGTGTTTCAAAAGTTAAAATAAGTAAAAATTATACAATTTTTACTTATTTTTTAACTTATAATTTAAAATTATTATAATTAATAATTCTTTACATTTAAAAGTTATTCAGAGCACGAAATAATATGAGATGTTGAGTATAAATAACAAGAACGGAAAATAATTCTATTAATTATATTTTTAAGTAAAAAATTTTGAGATCAAATTTTTAAAGAGAAAAAGTAATGAATTATTATTAATTATTATTAGATTAGACAAATTGTATTATTTTAATATTACCCCTTTCTTTAAATGTTTTGTTTCTTTTTATTATAAAGTTACTTTTACATGTATATTATGTCTTCTAAAATCGAAAACTTGTCAAGATCAACACCGTAAAAACTAGTGTTTTACATGTATTACATGCAAGAGTTCATCATCATCCATTTGCATTGCATGGTTCACAAATCTAGAAAGCGAGACGCTTAGGATACGTACTAGTGTACTCGCTCTCAATTACTTTCTCCATGCACTTTCACTTTTGATTGTCCCTCAACAAATATACTTGACAGACTTAAACTCAACTCTATGTGCACAGAAACGCACAATGCAAATTTAACTGAAAGGAGAAAGATCAAAGAATCCTAGGTATTATTTATACCTAGTATTTATAGGTAAAGTAAAGAGTAAAACTATAAGAATGTTTTATTTTATTTTTACTCAAAATCTTAAAAAATAAGTGTAATGAACACCAATTAAAAACTATTCTTAGATCCAACATATTTCAACGTTTTTTAAAATTAGTATCTTATGTAAAGAAGCTAATTTAACGAGTAAAAAGACATGGAAATAAACCGCGTAGCTTATTTGAAGAAAATGTCGGACGAAGTCTTCGTCCTTAAGAGTATTATTTTTATATTACAATTATTTTATGTTAAAATTATCGTGTTTAAAAGAGTAATTCTTCATAGAAAGAAATCTCTATTATAAGTTAAATATTTTGGATCAAAATATTTTTAGAACTCTAATGTTTGTTCTTCGTTGAGGAAAAATAAATAAATATTGAAACTACAGCAAAATAAAAAATGTAAGATTAGCTGAACGCTAGTATGTATTCAACGATTAAATCAGAAAACATAGATTAAGGATTTTAGGATTAACTTTTAACTGGTAACATAATTATATACATAAATAACATGTTATCGTTAAAAAGTGTACATGCTCTCTTTTTAACGATGTCCTACTTTTACTCGTGCTTATATATTATTCCAGCTATAAAAAGATAAAAAGATAAAAACTATTTTGGCAATAAAATAAAGTAAAATAAAACAAGATGTATATAAAACTAAAATATTGACAATTAAAAAAAAGAAAGTTTATATTTTTCAATAATTTATTTCCCCTCAAATAACTGCTTATAATTTAGTACGGAGATAAATAAGAGTGTGAAGAAAGAGAAGAGAGAGAGAATTATAAAAAATTAAATTAAAAATAAATAAAAGATATTCCAGTAGTAAAGATAAATTAAAAATAAATATAAAATATTCCTATATTTTCCACATACAGCAAAAATACATTGAACGCTATGTATTTAAGAATTAGGAAAATAAATAATGCTCAAAATGTTTTTAATATTATATATAAAGTTAAGAGAACGATAACACTTTGATAATGGCCTAAATGCACGGTAATAATAAATTGCGCAGAGCATTAAACACGCTTTGTCGAGTGATTAAAAGACGAGTGGTTGCGATGCGACATTCGGCATTCTGCTACGTCAGTAAAAAGCGAGCTTTCCTACTGGCGCCTCTAGGATAATTCCAGTCTTATCGTTAGATGTAACATTAAATGGGGATCTCTATATCTTATTTACTTAAACGCTTATAACGTATACGTAAAAAATAACTATGTAATTTAAAATAAAGGTAAAATATATTGTTAAACGCATTCAAAGGATATATAGTATTGATTTTGTTTATTACTTATTTATTACTTGTTATTTCTGGATTTCTCAATATCAGTCTCATGAGACTCGTGTATCTTGTACACACTCTGATAGGTATTTATCTTTTTCATTAGTAAGTAGTCAAGCACGTGATGTTTATACTGAAACATACACTTTAGCTAATTGTTAAGTTCCATCATGAGCTCTTTTGCATGAATGTCCGTGAAACACAGTAATTTACATTTGAAATTTAACCTTATAAATAAATGCATATTTTTATATATTTTTAATATATAAAAATATATATATGTACTAATAAAAAGATAAAATGCATTAAAAATATATGTGCTTTTTATAATATAAATATACATAAATAATACACAAAATTCTCTCTGATACTTCGTGTTATTAAAACAAAATGCAAAAAAATAATGTTTTTATCTTTGGAATAGATACAAGAATGCATCTGCAAGTCACGTATATAATTTTATCCTCCTATCAAAAAAATAATAAACAATTACTGCTGATAAACAACTACTAGCAATATAAATTATTGATGAACAATATTAAAGATAAATTGTCAATAAATTGTTTCACTGTTCGTTTTATATCTTTATAGCTTTTTTAGGTATACATATCACGAAAAATGTATTTTTTTGATTATATATCTGGTATTATTATATTAAAATATAATCTATATTAAAGATAATGCAACCTCAACTCAATATAAATTTTAATTTTAAACGAAATCAATTTTTTCTGAAAATGTTTCTTACGCTAATTTCCATCGCTGAACTTAAATTTGGAATAAATGCTATTTCTGATTACAATGACTACACATCGAAAAAAACTCACCAAAATGATATTTATATTTCAACTTGTTCGCGGCATACGTGAAACATGCGAACTCTATTATAAATTAGGTTATTAGTCCAGTAGATAGACCGACAACTTCGCACGCGTCAATCGCCAAGAGAACTTGAGAGCGATAAACGCCTGACGTACAGAAGCACACGCCGAATGTCACGATAATTATCACTCGTAATAGGACACACGCGTGCGCTTCGCCAGAATGGTTAAATGGCCTCGAAAATCGCTTGTCCTCGAGCCTGTGATCGCGACCACATTTTGGAGGTTAGGTTCTGAATTGCTCCGTCTGGTTGCTCCGTCTCGCGGCCAACTTCAAGAATGTTGCGGCAAGGCCGTATACTTATATTTTTACCGTATAATTGAATCCAACTTATTGATGACATACAATTGTTGATTCATCCGGTTTCCTATTAGCTTTTTTTATAAATCTTTTATCGAATTTATTTACTTGAAATACGAAAAAAGAAAGAAAATTCTGTAAATATGACTACAAAATGACTATAAACTATAAAGTATTGACTAATTGTAAGCAAAATATCGTGAGTTATATATATATGTATATATACGAATGCTATTACTTTAAATATATGTGGAGTTATTTGCTAAACATAAATATAAATACGGTGTACAATAGATATTCTTTTAGTCTCAAACTTAAACTATAAAATGAAGCTAAATAAAATATAAAAGTAAATACGTTATACGAGAAAGAAATAAATATATATAAATATTATTTTTCTTTTTTATATATTTTTTAAGCTTGTATTGTGATTATATTATGATTATTATTTACTTTAAATATATAGTCTTTTTAAATTTGTTGAAAATAAACAGCTTTGTATAAAAACTCTTTAAAATAAGCCAAATATACTGTATAAAAAATAAGTTAAGTGTGTTATATAAATGTATATATAAATATATATATTGTATGTATAATATATACATCAATTTTCTTATTTATGAGACACACAAAAGCATAAAATACTTACAATAATTATTTATTTTATAATATAAATTTTTCATAAACCTATACTGCAGTCAATCTTTATTTACTATTAATTTAACAACTAAAATTCAACAATTACTAAATATATTTATTTCGAGAGAAATTTATAATTATATAACATATCTCGAGATTTAATTAATTTTTACGTTTTTCAGTATTTAAAAAAATTCCACGAAATCGCCAGAAACTTTATCATTAAAGTTCGTCGAAATCGCGAACTCGAAGGGCATCTTGTACATACATTCGAATACAAAATCAAGGGTGTAGCGAATTCCAAAACCGCTCCTGGATCTTCTACTATCCACGAAGGGCACGAAAGTCGCTCACGCCGCGTTCGCGGCTGTTAGATTCGGTTAGATTCGCAACACATCGGAGCGGCTCGGGCGGGAGCCGAACCTGACCCGATCGGCGTGAAGTGAGTCGCGCGCGCGGAGCCGGCGGAGCACAGAGTGAACGGCGGTGGTGGGTGGATTATGTTCGTGTTGGCGCGTCGTTTTTGCGGAAAAAGCGGAGCTCACGACGCCAGTCGTCACTCGGTGTTCGGGAAAATCGACGGCCGCGTTTTCAGTCGCAACGATACGGAAAGGAAGATAGAGACGGACATCAGGAGAGGGAAAGGATACGCGCAGGATCCCGCGATATTATCTGAATGAATCTTGGTTTAAATCGTGTTCGCCCATCCCGGTGAGTACTCTGCGTGATCCGCCCCGTAGAATTCACGAAAGAAGCAGGGCGGAAGGACGAACCGGATTGTCTTAAACTTAATTAAGAGCACAGACGGTAGGAGCAACATATATTTCAACCTATCAAAAATTGCGTATACTAGAATGCGCGGAATTTCCAACAGGCGGAAATCTGTT